ACACTCCACATATACACTCCATATACACACTCCATATATACACTCCACGCATACACTCCATGTACACACTCCATATATATACTCCATATACACACTCCACATATACACTCCATATACACACTCCATATACAGACTCCATATATACACTCCACATATACACTCCATATATACATTCCACATATACACTTCACATATATACTCCATATACACACTCCACATACACACTCCACATACACACTCCATATATACATTCCACATATACACTTCACATATACACTCCATATACACACTCCATATATACAATGAAGTACTACTCATCAATCAGAAAGAATGAAATCTTGCCATTTACAACAACGTGGATGGAACTAGAGGGTATTATGCTACACAAAATAAGTCAGAGAAAGGCAAGTATCATATGATTTCACTCGTGGAGTTTAAGAAACCCAACAGATGAACATAGGTAAAGGGAAGAGAAATAAGATAAAATCAGAGAGAGAGACAAACCATAAGAGACTCTTAAATACAGAGAACAAACTGAGGGTTGCTGCAGAGAGGTGGGTGGGGGTTGGGCTAAAGGGGGGATGGGAGTTAAGGAGGGCACTTGTTGGGATGAACACTGGGTGTTAAGAGATGAATTACTGGGTTCTACTTCTGAAACCATTATCATACTATATGTTAACTAACTAGAACTTAAATTTTAAAAAAAGAATGGAGTGTGCCCCAGCTTAAGAAATCCTTCTAGATACCTGTTCTAGCCCGGTGGTGCTCAGCCAAGGGCGATTTTGCCCCTTGGGGACCTTTGGCAGTAACTGGAGACATTTGATTTTCAGCACTGGGGAGTGCTGCTGGTGTGTAGGGGTGATGCTGGGCATCCTGCAATGCTCGGGGCAGCCCCCTGACAACGGAGCATCCAGCCAGATATCGATCGGGTCCAGGTTGAGGACACTGTGCTTTGGATGGGTGACTCTGAGCCTGGAGCGAGGAGGGGCCACACTATGATTGGGGAGGGGCGTGGGGCTGTCAGGTGCGTACGGACCCCTGGGGGTCTTGTTAAAGCACGGACCCCATCTGATGCGGTAGGTTTCCGGTGAAGCCCGAGAATCTGCATTTTCTGTGCTCTTTATCCTGCACTGACTGCTGCTCTCTTTCTCTGTCCCAGGGTTCCCTGGGCCTGCCCGGTCCCCCTGGGAGAGACGGCAGCAAAGGCATGCGGGTACGTCTGTTCCCACCCCTCCCCACAGTCAGCCGCCTGCTCGGAGCCCATGTCCTTGAGGGCGGTGGCCTCTGCCAGGGCCAAGCCTGAGCTGGGGCTCATTCATACTGGGATCTTCCCAGGTCCCTGTGGGTCAGCCTAATCACTTCAATGACACCAGGCACCGCCTGTGTGTCCTTGGAAGCCATTTTTAGCTGACAAGCTTCTCTGCACGGAGGTCTTGTCTTTGTGCCCAGACCTGCAACCAGGTCCAGGTCCAAAGTGGGGGATTCGCGCATATTTCCAGTTCGAGGAGCAGCTGAGAATACACCCCGTCCCCTGCACATGCCCCAACCCCCCAGCCTCCCTCTTGTCAGCTCCCAGACTCCCCCTCCGCATCCCCTGCCTCTGAGGTGACACAACCCCCAGAAACCCAGATGAAAAGTGATCTCTACTCGGGCGGGCCAGTCTGCTCCGGGGAAAAGGGATCGTCCTCACCAGGAACCCAAAGAGAGACGGGTTCTGTGTTCCACCTCCTCGTGCTCCGTTTGTGATTTCCAGCACGTGTGAGCAGGTCTCGGAGTGGGAGCCTTGACTGTGAGCCCCTCCTCTGTCCGTGGCCTCTAGCACTCCGGGACAGGAGGTCTGGGGTGGAGACCGGGAGAGAAAGAGGGGTCCTGTGCTCTGCAGGACCCCTCCGGCTCCCCTCCTGGTGGCCAGTCTCCTCCATGCACAAGGGGATTCCTTGTCACTATGCTTTCTCCACCTTTGTGTCTGCATGTAGTTCCCTTGACCTCCAGCAGCAGGAGCAAGGGGGTTGGGATGTGCCGCGTGGGGTAAAGACCAACTCCCTTGTTCATGGCGAGTCTCCCAGGGCAGCCTGGGTCTCCTTGCATGGACGGCCACCTTGTGTCTGTGATGGGGTTTGAATTCCAGACACGGATGCCCCTGAGATTTTGGGCTTCCCTGGCCTGCCTGGGCCTGTGTCCCGGTGGGTTGTGACTGACCCTGTTTTGTGTGTGCAGGGGGAGCCGGGAGAGCCAGGGCTTCCTGGAGAGGTGGGAATGCGGGTAAGTGTCACTCTCGGCTCTGTTCCTCTGATGTTTCCAGCGGATAATTTTTTTTTTTGAGACAGAGAGAGAGAGAGGGTGCAAGGGAGCGAGGGACAGAGAGGAAGGGATGTAGAGGGAGAGAGAATCCCACAAGGGGCAGAGAAAGAGAGGGTGAGAGAGAGAGAGAAGCGGGGTTCGTGCTCACCTGACGCGGGGCTCGAACTCAAGAACCACCAGATCATGACCTGAGCCAAAGTCAGATGCTTAACTTCCTGAGCCACCCAGGGCCCCTCCAGTCGATAAATCTTGATGCAAAACCAATTGTTTTCGGTGCAGAATAGATCCACAAAGGCTTCCTGTATAACAGCACGCACGCTTGTGTGTGTATATCCTCACGTCTATGATTTTTCCTATATTCTTAAAAAAAGTGAAGCATACCACTGTCTCCCGTTTATCTTTTTTCATTTAACAACAGATTAGAGATCTCTTTCCACACCTGTTCTCTCAGTCAGTGCACCTCATTCCATGACGTGGGTGCATCATAATTTACATAACCTTTTCCCTATGATGGCCCTACATGTTATTTCTAATTTCAATGGTCTTTCACCAAAATCAATATGGTAATAAATGCATGTGTGTGTGTGGGTGTATGTGTGTGCATGCTTCTCCTTACGTACTGTATTTTATTTCAATAGGATAGATCACAAAAGTTGGCAAGCCTTTGCCTAAAGAAATGCACATTTTAATTTTAATAGATTTTTTAATAGATATTTCCAAATTCGTTGCCTAAAATCCATAGCAGTTCGAGGTCCAGGCCGCAGAGGAGCCTCAGGGCTCTGCGGACTTCTGTTTCGGCTTTGTCAGGACTCGCCCGGGCTTTGCAGGCCCCACGGCAGAGTGTGAATGACGAGCGACAGGAATCAGGCAGGTCGCTCCGAAGCTGGGCACAGATCCGGGCCAGACGGTGGGGAGGCCGTGGGACGCAGGGCAAGTGGAAATGGAAATGGTTCATTATAGCTCGGAGGCCACACTCCAGCTGTTCCTCAGAGTTGAGCAGACAAGGGAGTGAGTCCTGGCAGAATCCTGCTCCACCAGGCAAGGGGGGGGCGGCACGAACTCTAAGTAGAAGGGGGCAGCGTGCGGTAGGTGAGGAGCAGGGGTCTCTGGGTCTTGCCTCTGTTCCTGCCTCTCCTTCCCCTTCCCACACCTTTCTTGGGAACCCTCTTCTGCAGGGATTCCAAGGACCACCTGGACCCCCCGGGCCTCCTGGACACGTTGGAGCTCCTGTAAGTAAAGGCTTGTCTCTGGAAGGGTTTCTGTTTTCTTCTCCAGGGATTGGGACCCAGACCCCTGGCGAATCCCCCTCCAGAGTCTGCACACAGAGGACCAGCTGCCTTGGCACGTGTCAGTGGCAGTGAGGTGCTGGTGTCTCTTCTTACCAGAAATGCTGAAACATTATGGCCCTTAGGAACCTCCTGGAGGTCGTTTAAATGCACGCTTCTAGGACACCATTCCCAGACAGTGACACAGCAGCTTTGGGGGAAGTCCGGGAATCTGCATTTTTACCCAGCAGCCCAGGTGTTTCTGACACCCGAGCTAAAGAAGCTTTTTTTCCCCAGCTGGTCCAGTCTGCCACTCCAGAAGGGGTGTGGAGTCTGTCAATTCCCTGCCCCTAGAACAATGCTAGACCCACAATGAATGTTCAGTAGCCACGTGCCCCTTGAAGCAAGCGATGAGCAGATAGACGTGATGGATAAGGAGCAAAGTGGCTTCATGGATGTCTCATCATATTTTTGGTTCTCAGTAAGAGATTTGAGACTCTCTCCAAATAAAAGAAGCAACGTTAAAGGCCATTTTCAAGCATGGCAGCCGGCACTGCCTTGGGAGACTTTTAATACCTCTGATCTCTGTGTGACGGGCCAAGGCATTGGGATGGAATTAAAATGGCACAGATGTCCAGCTGCCCCCAGAGGCCTGGGCGGGCCATGGAGCCTCTGCCCTCTGGGATAGCGGCCTGTGGTTCTGGCCCTGTGCCTCTTCTCCAGGGACAAAGGTGTAGGTGTTATTCCTAGAATAGGTAATAGGGCCTGGGAAACCTTTAGCATCTTCTCCGCAGAATGTCCAAGGATCCTTTCTCCAGGAAATGAGAGGAGAGTGGGGACCAGAGGGGGTTCCCATAGTAATGCATCCACACCTCTCCAGTGGGGCTGTGCACTGAGCTGTGGGCCTGGCCCTCGAGCCTTCCCAGGAGAAGGTTTCATCAGCTGGTGCTGGTGGCCCTGGCATCTCCCTCCGGACCCGGCACATGGGAGAAGAGCAGATGCTCCGTATCATTCTCAGCTCCTGCTTTTTTAGTGTGGGCAGTAGCCTGCCGGCAGAACTTCTACAAGATTCTGGCGCTAACCAAGTGATTGATGCAGTCACTCACTGACTCATGTATTCATTCAGCAGGTGCTTATGAATATCAAGTGGCAGGCATGTTCTAGACTGTGTGGGGGTGCAGTATTGAAGGAAAGAAGGCACCGCCCTCTGGGGGCTCACATTCTCCTTGGGGGGGTCAGAGGAGGTGTCACTTGGGGCTTAGTGCTGGGAGAAGAGGAAAGCCTGGTGAAGGGGATAGAGGGTACTGTGGGCGGAGCAAGGGGTAGCGATTGCGTTTAGATCCTGTGGTCAGAGAAGCCCACGCCTTGGCTGATGCTTCCCTCAACTCTGCTCACAGAGTGGAGGGCGTTCTTAGCATAGGATCTGGTGTTGCTTCTCAGGAAGGTGGAGTGGACGCGACAGGGTGGGGGCCCTCTCCCCAGAGGAGGTGGAGGAATGTGGCTTTAAGGCACCCAGGTTTCATGACCTGGATTTCATGTTCATGATGGGATCATAGGTTCTGGGTGGCAGGGGAGACTGACTTCAGAGCCACATTCCTGCCATTGGCCGGGCCAGCTCAGGGGCCAGGTATATTCAAGCCTAGTCTGGAGGACCTGGAGAACCCCAGCCAGAAAACCGGCCCCAAGAGCTCACCTCGCACCCTGGTGGGGACCTAGGTGCCCAGGCCTGATGGGTGGAGCACAGGATGCTGTACAGAGAGAGTCCTGGGAGACGGGATCTTCACTGCCTTCCCAGGCAGGGTATCTGTGGGCCCCCAGACCTTCAGAACAGAGCAGCTGGGCTGAGCCGTGTTTCTGATCTACCCCTCTTCCCACAGGGTCTCCAAGGAGAACGAGGTGAAAAGGGAGCCCGAGGAGAAAAGGTATTTACGTTTGCCTCAACGCATCACCACAGCTTTCCATAGAAAGAGGAGGAGGGTGCCTGGGACTGCCCACGCTGTGCTTGCTTGTGAGTGCACGCGTGTATGTGTGCACATGGGTGCCTGTGCGTGTGTGTGTGCACATGTGGCAGGTGAAGGCTGGTGCAGATGGGGCATTAATTTCCCACCCTAAATGTCAGTTCTGGGCCAGGAGGGCGTGGGCTCGGTACCTGCAGGGACTATAGTCCAGCACACAGACAGAATTTGGCTTCCAGGCCAGGAGGGTTTGAGAGAGCCCAGCCTGGGACTCAGAAAGTTCTGGTTGCTGCCGTGGGCTCACATCTCACTTGGCAAAGTTACATAACCTCTGTGCTTCTCCATTACCCTGATTCTCAAACCAGAGGAAGGGTGCGCGGTGACCGCCGTGGTGTCGGGGACCCCCATTTAGTCTCTCTCACCAGGGGTTGGGAACTGACCCAAGCTGAGGCTCCACCCCCACCGTGGCCGGCACCCTGGAGTGGGGCTGAGGGCCGCCGTGCCTTCATTCTGTGCACTAGGTTACCACAAGGGGACCCTTGGGCCAGAACTTTCCACTTGTGCTCTTGTTCAGCCGGGTGGAAACAGGACTGCAAACCACACCCCCCCACCCCCGACCTCAACCTGCCCATAAGGCATTGGGAGCCTCTGCCCAGGCCCATCCCTCAGATCGAGAGCTGGAACTCGGCCCTCCCATGCTGAGTCAGGTTCCAGATGCTTTTTCAGAATCTACCGCATTCTGTCCTCAGCAGTACATGTTCCTCTAGTTTTATAAGACATTTTGAAATTATTTTAATTCTGTATCAGTATATTTGGAAAATTGTAAAAAAAACAAAAAAAAAAAAAACCAAAAAAAAAACCAAAAAAAAAAACAACATAGCCCCTAGTCCTGCTATCCAGGTACAACTATGGGCAATGCTTTGGCCCATTTTCTGTAGGACATGTTCCTATAGATCTGATTTCTTTTTGCAGAGACGCACATAATATATTCGATTTTGCAACCCGTCCTGTCTGTTGTCCCTACATGCAGTATTTTTGCCCAGGCTGCTGTAGGGTTTTTATGACTCATTTTAAATGGCTGCATACCATTTCATTGCATGAATAGACCATGATTTATGTGCCTGTCCCCCTAGTATTGATCATTTGGGGTTGTTTCCAGTTTTTCGTGGTTAAAAATAATGCTTGGGTGAATATTTTTAAACCGATAGCTATATTTAGTCATTTAGTTTTCAAATGTAGGGTTATTTCTTTAGGCTGCTGTCCTGGAAATGAGATTACCAGTCAAAGAAAATGAACCTGTTTGTGGCTCTGGAAACACATGGCCACGTAGCTTTTCCAAAAGGTTCTTTAGAGTAAAGGGAGACAGGAGCTAGCATGGTACCCCACCTGAGGCTCCAAAGCATGATTTCTGTGTGCATATTAAATTTTAGGCATTATATGGGGCGCCTAGGTGGCTCGGTCGGTTGAGCGTCCAACTTCGGCTCAGGTCATGATCTCACGGCCTGTGAGTTTGAGCCCCGCGTCGGGCTCTGTGCTGACAGCTCAGAGCCTGGAGCCTGTTTCAGATTCTGTGTCTCCCTCTCTCTCTGCCCCTCCCCTGTTCATGCTCTGTCTCTCTCTGTCTCAAAACTAAATAAATATTAAAAAAAAAAAATTTAAATTTTAGGCATTGTAACTTAAAAAGTGATGTGTAACATCTCTTACCCCATGCTCATCGGGATTTGTGTCTCTTGGTTCTTTTGAGAGTTTTAACACGGTCCCACATATTTGTCTACCAGAAGAGCTCCTTTCTGTGGCTCTCTGCTCCCTTGTTTACCTCTTGGGGACCTGAAAGACGGCATTTGGAATAACTGGAGATTCAGGCATAGGGTGGTATGGCTTGAGAGGCAGCTCAGAGTCTGCTTTGAAGCCGCTGCCTGAGAGCAGGCAGGATTTGGGAAACGAAGCCTGTAATAGGGCTGGGCCGTAGAACAGCGAGAGGGAAGCCCAGGCTTCCAAAGTGCACAGTGAGCTCAACGTTGATTCTGGATGAAAGCCCAGACCTGCAGAGTTCCACCCTGGCTGTCACCTGAGGGAACTGTCAGGGACCCAGGCCTGTGCCCTGGCATGGGGTTCAAAATGGGCCTCCACTTGCAGTCTCCCTCAAGCTCCTACTGGGGCCTTTCCACTTCAGCGCCCCTAGGGCCCTTATAGTCATTTGTACCAAATCCACGTGTCTTTCCCACACACACGTGTAGACCCCTCGCAAACTGGGCACAGTGCTCAGGCTGCCTTCGTCTCTGGGTCCTTGCTCCCTGGGGGCACCCTCGACCCAAAGCACATGAGCAGTCCTCATCCGCTGACACGTTGGTGTGGCACTGGGCACCCGAGAGGAGCTGATGCCGAAACCAGGATTGATCTCCGATTACAGAAGGCCTTCACTAACAGGTGGATGAACTTGCACTCTTTTGGAGAATGCATAGGATGGGTTCGGAAGGTGCATTCTAGCACTCGGGCTTAGATGATGTCACAGGAGTGGATGGTGAACAGGAAGCTGCGTGGACCATGTCACGTTAGTTAGGAAATGCCATGGACAGAAGGCACGGGGCGCCCAGAGCAGGAACACAGCGCCATCCGAAAGATGCTCCTCCAAGCTTCCTGGTTGTAGCAGCTCCCGCTGAACCAGTGAGTTTGGGTTTCCCGGGGTTCCAGTGAAGACTGCAGGACAGAACTCACAAGCCTCGTGAGAGCCAGCTCTGTCACTCGTGGGCTGGGACAGCCACTTGATGTACCAGAGCCTCAGTTTGCTCATCTGCAGAGCGGAAATACTGATGTCTTCCCTGAAGCTGGCTGGAAGGTTGGATACGTGTTCAGCACATAACTGACACTTCCACAAATATTTCCTTTCCCCACCTGTGCTTTAGAGGAAATTCAGTCTGTACACACGCAGGAGTTTGTTCTTTCCAAAAGTCTGCTTTGAAGTAACAGCTTCTTCCCGTACAGCATGGGGCTGCTTTTCCAGCAAGCTTTGGGAGTCTAGGTTAAGGCTTTTTTGTCCAGCCAAGAAATGGTGCATTTCTTTAAATTTTTTTTTAACGTTTATTTATTTTTGAGACAGAGAGAGACAGAACATGAATGGGGGAGGGGCAGAGAGAGAGGGAGACACAGAATCTGAAGCAGGCTCCAGGCTCTGAGCCATCAGCCTAGAGCCCGACGCGGGGCTCGAACTCACGGACCGTGAGATCGTGACCTGAGCTGAAGTTGGACGCTTAACTGACTGAGCCACCCAGGCACCCCAAGAAATGGTGCATTTCTATCAAAATCCTGAATTATCAGATATGGAAAGGACCAGAAAGAAGCTTGGAGATCTCTCCTTATTTACAAATGGGGAACTGAGCCCAGAGGCCATGATTTCCTGATGCCACGTGGCCCGTTATAAAGAGAGAGAGAGAGCTTAGGAGCTCCTCAATTCCAACGTGGGCTTTCCCCTCCACGGCACACCAGGCCTGAAGTGGTACCAGGAACGTAGGACAAGTGATGTTCCCCTGAACTCTCTCTGCAGATTGGCCATAGCCCAGCCCCCTGCAGGTTTCTAACAGGGCAGCTCAGGAAGTAGAGGGCCACCTCCAGATGACGTCCAGGAGAGGCATCAGCCAGTGTCCCTGTTGGCCTCGGTCTCTCCAGGCTGCACCAGGTGGCTCATCGTGGCATAGAGGAAGTCCTGCACCATTTTGGAGCCCGCCTGCCTGTGTTTGAACCCCAGCTCTGAGCCCTGCAGACCGTGTTACCTTTGGAGAGCTATTTAATGTCTGAGCCTCAGAGTCCCTCATCGCTGAGGGTGACTGTGTTACATGAGGGCCACCAGGAGGATCAACGGAGTTAAGATTTATAAAATGGGTAGAAGAGTGCTGGGAAATATGTGCCATGTGTAAAGGGCAGGGACACAGAAAGAGAGGGACAGAGACTGAGACAGAGAGAGACAGGAAAAGATAGAGAGAGGGGGGAGCCCGAGCCTGGGCTATGCAAGCTCAGCTTCGGGTATGTTTCCAGCTTCCTTGCTAACTTTCTGGGCAGCTCTGAGGAGAGCTGGCCCCTTCTCTGCACCTTCATCTTCCCAGATGTCAAGAAGCCTGGACTGCATCATCCCGTAGGCTCCTTTCCAGGTCTTGTATCCGATGGGTACTTAAAACAGTTTATTTTCTCGCGAACCTCTCTGATTTCTTACCTCAGCAAGAAGGAGCTTTCCATCTCCCTTTGAGACAGGCCCATCAGTTGCCTGGCCTTGCGCAGCTCGGAGCCAGGCCGCGGAGAGCCACTGCCCGTCCATTACCGAGGCCACCTTCAGACAGCAACACAGTGGGTGCTCTGTGTAAGGCGGGGGACTGCCCTTTCTTGAAGCCTCTTCCAGAAGGCGTGGAGGCTCTGAAGGTGTGAGGGCATCCTGGCAACTGAGGGGCAGTAGAGCCTGAGTGGACTGTCCAGGGACTACTGAGCTTGGGACAGCTGGCAGATTGCAAGGGGACTCGGGTCACTAAGGAGCCAGAAGGTGGATACAGTGTTCTGTCTGGAAAACTGGGCTGCCAGGACAGCTTTGGGTGGATGTGACACTCACACTCCCGAGGCCCAGGGGGAAATGCCCTGGTTTGGGGATACAGGAGCCAGGGCATGGCACCCAAGGAAACTGGTAAGGGCACCAGCTTTGGAATAAGAAAAAAAAAAAGATTCTCAAACTGGCTCTGCCCATACTGGCTCTGGGAACTCACACAGGCTTCTAACCCCACGTCCTGATCTAGCAGTATCTGCCTCGGATAGTGGCTCTGAGGGCCTGGCTGAGCGAGTTGTGAAGGCAAGTGCAGGACATGGCCCCTGGTAGGGGCTCCCTACATGTTAACAGAATGGGAGTTTCGAAGGGCCAAAAACCATGATCCTCCCTGGTGACACCGGCCGCCACCTCTGCCTTAGAGAAGCCCCTCAATCCTCCTCGTTCTGGAGGGGGGGGGCAGGAAGAATTGCCCACTGGGTCTCACTGTGACAGGTGTTTGGCGAACATCCCTGACATGCTGGGTGCACAGAGGCATGTTCCCTCTTTCACTGGGTGAGGGTCTACATGGCACGTGCCCAGCAGACACATGGCCCACGCCCCTCCCACACTGACCTGCACACCAACACCCAGACCTGAGATTTATCAAGGGCAAGGGTGGCTTCCCGCTTTAATGGGGGACGCACTCCCCCTGGTGTCAGAGATCCAGAACCGCAGCGGGAGGGCTTGGCATGGAGAGGGGCCCTCGGAGCTTTGCAGGCAGGAGTGATTCCTCCTTTGAGTCGTTCGACCCAGGATGATGCACTTAGTCTCATAGGACTGAAGGGCTGTCAGATCCAACAGAGCCAGCCTCGGCCCCCGGTGTCCGGAAGGTGCTCGGGATGAGGACGGGTTCCCTTGCACCTGCGTGCACACACACGTCCCTGTCAGTTAAGGATTGTGAGTGTCGGAAGAGGTCTTAGGGTTCTGGGAATACAGCCGCCTTTCTTCTGTCCTCGCTTTTCGTTATTTCAACCCAGTTGGGAAACTGAGTCTCAGAGCAGGGTAGACTCTGCAGGCAGCAGCCCACGTTGGTGGAAAACAGCATTAGAACTCAGGTCCCTGACCTCCAGCTTCGGTCCCCTGTTCACATCACAGCCCTTGCTGTCCCGTGAACTTGACTCTGCTGGCCCCTTGTCTCTGGTTGATTTTTCTCTCCTTCCCCACCCTGCGTAGCCACTCTGCTCTGCTTAACTAGCTTCTAACGTTGCACCTTCCACATGCCACACATTGTTCTATGCATTTTGCAGATATTGATTGGCTCACCCAATTCTCACCAGAGCCTTAAGAGGTAGCTGCTGTATTTATAGATGGGAGACAGAGTCAGAGATGCCAAGTGACTGGTCCAAGGTCACACAGCTTGGGATGTGGGAGAGCCAGGCTTCGAGTCTGAGTTTTGGGGTTGACTGCGGCTCCCTGTACCTCTGCACACCCCCACCCCCCACCACCGGGCCCTCGCTGCCACTGTCTGCCAGGAACCAAGCAGGTGGGCAGCTGTCCAAACCCTGTCCTCTGTTGTGCTGATGCGGTCAGTACAGTGGTGACAAGTCAAACAAAACCATACAACGGCAAAACAAAGCTAAGTCTCAGACTTTACATGGGACATGCCCTTTCTAGTTCTGCCTCCGGCCCCGTTCTTCCCTTTTGCTTCCCGTCGCATGCCTCAGCTGGGCTTCTGTAGGCACTTCGGTTAGAGACCCTGCTCCGTGGACAGCTGTCTTCTGTCTGTTGGTGTCTGGGCTCTCCCTCAGCTTCTCTCTCCCCTCATCCACCCTGGCCTGGTCATTTTTCTCTTCCCGCATCCCCCTGCTGGTGAACACACACATCTGTCGGCACTCCGGCTGTGTCCCACCTGGCCCTGCTCTCCGTGTGCTGGCTGGGGACAGGCAGCTGGTGCTGGAGCTCACCTGTGGCTTTCCCGAGTTGCTGCTGGGAGAAATCTTGCTTCTGGGCCTCACTGATCTTGATGTGCAGGTGCAAGGGAGTAAGAATTGGGGCTTGAGCAACAGGCAGAGCCCTCTGCTTTGTGATAGACCTTGTGAAATTGTACTCAGTTGACACGGTTTTTTGTTTTGCTGAACCCTGGGGAAGTGCCACATTCAGGGGTGACATTTAGTAGGCTGGCCCTCTCTAAGGAAGAGAGCTCTGGGCTGGCCATCAGGAGACCTTGTCTTCAGGCCTGCCACTGTCACACAGGTTCTGTGTGACCCTGGACTAGATATACCCCTAAGGTCAGTTTTCTCACCTATAAAGGGAAGGCACTGGATTCCATGGGTTCTGAGATCTTGTCAGTTCAGTGGGAGAGACCAGAATGATCCCCCAGTGTCCTCTGCTCAGGCCCCAGGGGCAGTAGAAATAGAAGGGGAAGGGTCCAGAGACCCAGCCTCTGTTGTCAATGCAAGCACATCCTGCTGGGGTTGAGTGGCTTTCCATCTGGGCCCCCATTTCCTCATCAACGGTCTGCCCTCGGACCTGCCAACCTCATGGCAGGTGGAGGACGAGAACGTTGGTAACTAATGTGGAATTAGTTGGCAGAGAGAAAAATCCTCTCTGTTCGCCCAGAGCTCATGTAACAAAGAGACGTTTTTAGAGAATGAATGTGTAATCGTGCTTGAAAATGGAAAGGTGTACATCATTGTTCTAGAACTTTTGAAATCATTTCTGAAGGGCAGAGAACACGTATGCGTAAGTTTACTTAGATGCGGGAGAGAAACTACAAAGCAAGCTGCAGAGCTGGGGAGGTGCTGGAATGATCCCCGGGCTCCGGTCCGGGGCTGTGGGCAGCAAAGAACCTGGGGCAACTATCGGTGCCTCACTGGGGCCCTGGCTTGGGGATGCTGAGTTGGGTGGCTCCTCCCCTGACCTCTGCTTCAGTGGGCCCGTGGGAAGCGTCAGTGTTTGCCCCCAGACTAACAGAGAAAACAGGTACCCAGCAATGGCCAGAGGGAATGGAAGCATTCAGACCAAGAAGAAAAGCTGATGCCTCCCCCCTGTCGGGTCCACCGGACCCTGTGGTTCCTGGCTGTGAGCTGCAGGGAGGTGACTCGTTCCCTGCAGGCAGGCCAATAGGACCAGTGTGGCAAAAACAAGCAGAAGACCAAGACTCTTCAATCATTCAGAGAAAAGTGACATCCTGAAAGATACACCAACCTTTAAAATAGAAAACAAAAAGGCAAAGAAAGAACAACTTCGTAGATCAGTTATAGAGAAATACAGTCAAAAGAACTTTCACGTGTAGCCTTCTGGTCACTCAATAAATGTCAGTGGGGGCCACACCGCGTCTCCAGGCTGGGAAGTGGGGGGTGCCCTCACGGGAAGGGTGAACACACCTCAGGCCTCACATGAGCGAGAAGGATGGTGACACAGGTAATAGATGCAAATCGAATTAATGGCAAAATGAGGGACACAGTGAGACAGGCTGGGGAAGGATGGGTGTCTAATTTGAATTAAAAGGCCAAAGAGATGACTTTGAAGTGAGCCCTGAAGGGTGCTGAGGAGCCAGCAGAGGGAACAGTAAGCACAGCCTGTGGAAATGAGAGAAGCTGCCATGTTGGGGAGACTCTGAGAAGGAAGCCATGGTGGCTGGGGTGGCACTTAGTAGAATGTTCATATTAGCATGGACCCCCCCCCCCCCGTCATCAGCTGAGTTCTCAGTGGGGAGAAGACACAGCTGGGGACATTAGACAAGGAGTTATCCCATGAGAGGAACACACCAACATCTGTGGACTTTGGCTCAAGAGAACCGTGCTGGGCTGGGAGAAAGATGGTGGCATCTGCTCACCACCTGTCACAAGCAGGTGTTTTGGATAGGTTATCTCATCCCTTAGTCATAGGTGTCTTCCCAGGAAGGGGTTATTATCATCCCCGTGACACATGGTCAACAGAAACAACCTCAGAGGCGAAGTGACTTGCCTGAGATTATACAGCTAAGAAAGACAAGTCCAGCTTTGAACGCAAGCAGGTGGGCGGGTGTTGGATGGATGCGTGAATGATCGCTTACCGTTAGCCAGCAATTCACTTTTAACTCCAGGCCCTGGGGACGTAGTGGACGTTCATGCATATCCACTGGATGAATGAATGGAGAAAGACATGCTCAGTTTTATTAACTGCATCACAAACCCCACAAGTCTGTTACTTGGACCCTAGGAGATGAAGAGACTGTGTGGTTCCAAGAGGCTACATGGCCTTCCCTTAGTCACAGATTTGGGAAATGCAAAGCAGGGAATAGGGATCTGGTTTCTCTGACCTTTGACTTATGCACTTTGACCCCCGATGCACATATATTGTAGCCTGGTGTGTGTGTGTGTGTGTGTGTGTGTGTGTGTGTGTGTGTGTGTGTGTCTTGTATCCAAAGATGCTGGGTTGAGAGTAAAGGTTAGAAGAGTAAGACGCTAAAAACCTTTGCATTCCCTGATCATGGCCCTGACCCCAGAGATGTACATTGGTTCTTCATTTCTTCATTTTCCTTCCTTTTCCAGGGGGAGCAAGGCCTGGATGGATTCCCTGGGAAGCGTGGGGAGACAGGAGAGCAGGTAAGCAGGCATTGGCTCTGGTGGCCTAGGCTTTGTCGGAGGACAGGATCAACTGGGGCCAGATAGAAAGCTCTGTGGGGCCTGATTGCCTTGGGCTCTGGCTCAGCTGGAGGCTCCAGGAGGCCCAGTGACCAGACTCCAGCTTACGGTCATACAGTCCTCCTCCAACACCAGGGTATTGGGATCCCTGAGAACACACCCCTTTCAATACGTTCTAACCTCGTTGACCCATGTGACGATTGCAGTAAAGGCCATGGACGACGTGCATCAGATGTGTTCATTGGTGTCTCTTCTGTGAGAGTAAAAGATTACAAACAACACAGAAGCTTCTCAGTAAGGAACTAGTCGAACAAATCAGGGGGTTATAATTGAGCTATAACCATATAGTTACAGAGGAATAATACGAAGCCATGGAAATTAATGAAACTCCCAACATGCTGATAGGGATGTTCCATAGATATTCGGTTAAGTGGAAAGTACAGGCAAGTGTAGATTGGTGTGGGAAATTGCATTGAGGACTTATGCAGATGTGCACTCTCTCTGAAACTTACTTTTTTTGTTCATGGCCTCCGGAAGAGGCCCCTCACTGACTTGTGGAAGGGAATGGAAGGGAATTCTCATGCACACAAATTTGAACCATGGGGGGAATGTGTTGTCCAAAAAGTAACTAAATTTAATTATTTAAATGGTTAAAGCTGTAAATAAAACCTAAAATTCTACATCCGCTTGAAGACAATTGGGAAAATACGTATTTGTATACCATAACACATTATCAGTCCATTAATATGTTCATATTACTAGCTTAGAGATAAAATAATAACATAAATTAACTAAATTTGATATACAAATCCCTTGCCATGTATTAACTTCAATATACTATATTGATATAAATTAAATCTATGGATAATCTCAGCACCTCCAAATAACATCTTGGTTTTATATGTATTGTCACTTAACAAATTGGAACAGTACCTTTTTTTTAATTTAATTTTTTATTTTTAAAAATTTACATCCAAATTAGCATATAGTGAAACAATGATTTCAGGAGTAGATTCCTTAGTGCCTCTTACCCATTTAGCCCATCCCCACTCCCAACCCCTCCAGTAACCCTCAGTTTGTTCTCCATATTTATGAGCATCTTATGTTTTGTCCCCCTCCCTGTTTTTATATTTGTTTCCCTTCCCTTATGTTCATCTGTTTTGTCTCTTAAAGTCCTAATATGAGTGAAGTCATATGATTTTTGTCTTTCTCTGACTAATTTCACTTAGCATAATACTCTCCAGTTCCATCCACGTAGTTGCAAATGGCAAGATTTCATTCTTTTTGATTGCCGAGTAATACTCCATTGTATATATATACCACATTTTCTTTATCCATCAATACCTTTTTATGTCTTGCCCCTTCCTTTCACATTATGTCATAAACGTGTAGCCATTTTCTTAAATATTCACCAGGGACAGGACTCCAGTGACCACTTAGTATTCTATGGTATGAATGTGCTATCATTTATTCATTTTTGTTGCTTAAAAATATTTATTGTGTGCCGCCCCTGTGCCAGGGCGCTGACTCTTTTATTTTTAATGTTTATTTATTTTTGAGAGAGAGGCAGAGCACAAGCAGGGGAGGGGCAGAGAGAGAGAGGGAGATACAGAATAGGAAGTAGGCTCCAGGTTCTGAGCTGTCAGCACAGAGCCCGACGCGGGGCTTGAACTCAACGAACCGTGAGGTCATGACCTGAGCCGAAGTCAGATGCTCAACCGACTGAGCCACCCAGGCGCCCCAGGGCTGACTCTTAACACTAGAAATACACACCTGCTGATG